TAGAGGATGAGATGGTTAGATAGCATCACTGAAGCAATGAGCATGAAACTGAGCAAACTCAGGGAGGCAGTGAAGGACAGGAAGACCTGGCGTGATATGGTTCATGGGTCACGAAGAGCTGGACACAACTTAACAACTGAACAACAACAAAAATCATTTGGGGGTCAAACATTGCATTTCTCAGTAGTTCTTCATCACTGGAAAGTAATCAGGCAAACTTGGTACTCACCATACAATTTTCCTTCCTGCGAATATGTGCATTTTCTGGTTGTGTCCCCTGGTGTTAAGGCTTGATAGGTCACTGGATGATGCCCCAAATAAATGAAGAATTGCTCCCATAATCTTTGGAAAATCTTCAAAATTCTTTAAAGACAAGATGACACGGGGAAGATTTCTGAAGAGAGCAGTATCTGTGCTTGCTGATATACTGACAAAGGAAGGGGACACAGTCATTTTATCGAAAAAGGTAGAATTGGCAGATTGCGTACATCTGGAATGTATTGCTGTGTGTTCTGGAAACACAGCAATTTAATGCTAAAACTGTAGGCCTCTGAATGATAAATTTGAAAGCAAATTGCAATTTACTTGTGGAAGAAGGATGCCAATGTGTAAGCTAAATATGCAGGTTGTATATGTGAGGAGTATGTGGCATTATTAATTAGGAGTCTGGCTAAAGGCTAGGAATTTCCTAGGCCCAGGCCCAGCTCAGGCTGTCCTCTCTCAGACTTGAAGCAGATCTGAGTTTTTTTACCACAGGTTGGATCATTCTCTAAGTGCCTGTGTGAAGGAATTTGGAGGTGACCTTCAGGAAGTTATGAAAGAAACATTAAGGAGGACTTGGAGAAGTGATTTGAAGTCCAAAGACTGAAGCAAATGTGAGAAAGAAGCTCAAAATAATCTCGCCTTGATTTTGTTTAGTGTAAGATGGGACAGGGAAAAACTTAGACAGGCTTTCAAAATTCTGTTGTGATACCCTACAAATCCAAAACACTTTCAGTTCGCCCCAAAG